TGCACACAGCACGTAAAAATAGGTAAAAATGACAGACGAGCATCCCCTGGCATACCTAGTGTCCTGTGTCCCTGTGTCTCTTCCCACATCCTTTACTTTTTTTCTCCATCCTACTCATATTTCCTCTGCTTTCATTCCCCATCACAACTGCTAAGGCAAAGCATCAAAGGAAGCTTCATTATCACCTCTCAGCTTTCCCGAGATCGCTGCAGTGAAGGTTTACCAGCACCAGGCTTTGAGCTGGTTCAAAAAACTAAAGAACAGCGAGCTGCATCCCATTTCTCTGCCCTCAAACATATCAAGCTGCAACCCTGGATGCTTTAAAGGGAGACTGTCTCATGCTACCACTGTTTGTCTTCCATGCCACGGAGTTTTAGGCTGTGCTTTTCTATTTTCAATGTGTAAACAGTTCCCTAAACCCCTTTCTTAATCACCTATCATACCCTTTCCTTTACATTCATGTACCAAACAGTGCTTGATGCTGGCATGGTCCTCCAGTAAGACAGACAGACTGCACTTCCATTAACCGTGGGCTTTGGTGCCTGCCGTTCAACCAGTACACACAAAGTTAAAAGGGAGAAAGAAATTAGGAAGAAGGTGTTGTTAAGGTGTTAATAGTGCTGCTGAAATACCCTTTAATTCCTCTGTTCACTAGTTGGTACATACTATAAAGCTGTTCAGTTTTATGGCAGATATTACGGCCATGCATGTCAGGACTGGCAACTGGAGAAGATTTATACACTGGTCCTTGAGATGAAACAGATAACAGAGACCAAATAAAACTGTTCACAGGAGCCCCAGTCATGACCACTGTAAAAACTAAACTTTACACAATTTCATACTAAAAACAAAAGGCCACATTGCAGTTACTCCTGCATTCCCCAGATGGCCATTGCTTCAAATTGGAGCTATAAAAACACCAGGAATGCTGGATAGGAATCACTTTAGAATACACCACTTTTCCCACAAGCTAGGAGCAGACTGTCTCGAGTTCACATTCTCACATTAATCGATGGAATTTCCATAATTTATCCCAAAGATTGATGCAGCCTGTTTATAAGGAGTTAAGCTGTCAATCACATTTAAAGAGGATTCAGCCTGAAAAGCCAGGTAAAACTGATTCCTCCCCAAAAGACTCAGAGGAGGGAGCTGAAAAAGCAAGCATGGGAATAGTAAGGAATCCCTTTGGCATTCAGAGTCCTGAAGTATTTGGTGTAGTGAGAACTGTATCAGCTCTGAGAGCACCTCCATTGTAGAAAGCATTTCTCTCTCTTGAAGTCTCCTAATATATTTACATTGGACACTGAAATGATCATTATAGGCCAGACCTCCAAGGTGAAGACCTGAGCTTGCCCCTCAGAGGCATTAATTTCATTCCTCCCAAGAGCTCCAAATCCACCTTCCCTGCCACCAAAGCAGCCTGTCAGCAGTGCTGCAAAGTGAAATCAGCAAATATTAATTGCCAGCTGGGAAATCTGCCATTAGTTTACACTCAAGATCTTTTTCCAGCTGGAAAGATGGAGTGTGATAAATGGAGCAGATTTCTTTGCAGTCTGTGAGCCAGCCGATGGAGCCGGTTTGCCTGTTTTGCAAGCACTAAATGAGCAAAATACCCAACACCTTCTTAGAGATGGTTTTGAAATGCTATTCACTAGAGCAAATTACTTCTGCAAGTAACATCACCAAACTAATACATGGACAATGAATAAAGTAGAGGAAATAAAACACCATCACCTGAGGCTAAATTCCTACCTGCTCAAAATCACTGCAGTGATACATCACAAGAGTTATTAGCCTGCTTGGGGGTTTTCCCCCCCCTAAGTTTGTAATTTATGTACATTTAAGCATAGAAAATGTTCTGTCAACATGCAGACGATTAGGATTTCCCATAATCAGAAAGAAACTTCTTGAAAACTGGAGGAAAGACAGATGAGAAGTTGAAAATGAAAAATGCCATTTAAGACCCTGAAATCCTAAGATTATGGGATGATATGGTTTGGAAGAGGCCTCGGAATTTAAACCGTTAGCACAGCATCAGACCAGATTGCTCAGGGCTGTTCCCAGCCACATCTGAAAGCCCCCCAAGATGGAAGTGGCAGCCTGTCCCACAACCCAACAATCCTCTTGGGAAAATCATCTCCTACATCCAAGTGGATCCTCTTGTTTCAGCTTTTCCCCTTGTTTCTCATCCTCCCGCCATGCAGAGCCAGGCTCCAACCTCTATGCTGATGTGCCTAAATGTCATTAGAGAACAAGTTACTCTCACTCTTCCAATGTGCATACACACTTGCACACATATGTGGTACAAGCATGTACAACCCAGCATAAAACATACACTTTCGAAGTTCATGGCACGAAATGTTGTTCTGAGCAACAGCGAAAGGCTCCAACCCAGCAGTGTGACCACTTGCATAACGGAGAGGAGAAAGGCGGGTGGTTTTCCACAGGGATTTCTTTCCAAATTCTGTACAAAATCCATACAAAAGTATGTGATGAATATGTTAAAAGACAAAAAATATCCTTTCCCAAGGCACACAAAAGTAAAGAGAGCTTTGCTGTTTGCTTTATCAGTTTACTGGGGATAGACCTGGCTCAAAGTGGAATTGGAGTATTTGATCTTTGTCATACTTTAAGGCCATCCAGTTTGTCTCTGATAACTGGGTAAACTGGCAGAGCACGCAGATGCAGTCTGTGATGTCCCTCAGCTCTACTCAAGGACTTAAGCTTTAATTGAACAAGTCAACTGGGATAAAAAACCACAACGCAACCCACTCATCAGCCTGACTGTACTCAAATCATCATGTCCTGGACAGAAAACAAACAGAGCGTGTGCCTACTGACAGATGTACACTGACAGATATCCAGCATGTTTAAGATTGTTCTCCAAAGTCTTACCCTTTATGCTACATTTATAAAGTTGCTTATAAACCTGTAGCTTAATTGTTTACTACAACTCTCTATTTAAAATAAAACACCATCATTCTGTGATTTACAAATAAAAGACTTAAGTACAAAGGCATGAAAAGATACACAAGCAAGTTACTCGGGAACCACATGGCAAAAACAAAGGCTGAAGCCAAATATTCCTATGGAGTCCCACTCTGTGGGATTATTCCCCCCTTAAGGTAAACTTTGCTTTTCTATATTTTATCTCTGCAGACAGTGGTGTGAAGCACTTTTTTATTTATTCATGCAGGAAGACAAGTGAGCTTGCTCCTTCCCTTCCATAAAGCTGTTATTCGGCTGAAAAGCAGATTTAAGAGGTGCTCCATGGCAAGAGTTTAAGGGTTACTTTAAAATGGGACACAAGACTACTGCTTTCTGGTATCATTTCATGGAGTGTTCAGGAAAGTATTCAAGCGTGACATTGTATCATTAGGTGTAATACAGCCACTGCAGAGGCACTGATTACTGCAATGAGAACTCATTTTCTTTAACGCTATATGTGATAAGCAATGAATAAAAACCCAGGCCAGAAGCATCACTGCAAGAAGGTGGGATACATACAGGAATGAAAAAACTGAAGACACTTTTTGGGAGTCAGGGGAAGAAATCCCCTGCATTGAGTGGGATCAGGGGGCTGCTGAGACCTCAAGTTCAGATTTCCCCTTTCTTCAGGAGGTTTCTCATGCTACAGACCCATCTGCATCTTACTCGGGGATGGAGGCAGTTTCCAGCCAGATCCGCCTCGATACCCAGGGGCAGAAACACCAGCATTAGGAGAAAGGCACAAGCATTCTTCTTAAATGCTCCTTTGTAAAGTGACAAGCAAAAATCCCTCTTCACCTTGACCTGCTCGTGTGCTGTCCCTTCAAATATGCCTTTCCATGACTAGCTTCATACAAGGCCTATCAATCCTAGACCTAACCACTTAAAAGACAAACTAACGCAGCTCAGCCAGCGTTCACCAAGTCCATCCTCTGACCAGCTCCTCTGTCAAATACACAGCCAGACCTCCAGAATAAATGAGACAACAACGATAATGCTTTCCTATCTCCAAAGAACATCACAAGGATATATTAATAAGACTCTTCGAGTGGGCTCCTGTTTCTTAAACAGGCTCTTCTAGCATCATGTTAGTAAACAAGAACCTGTGATGGATCGCTCTGTACACAGCCAAGCTCTCAGGGGCTGAAATGCCCAGTGAGCTGGAGATAAAGGGATTATTTTCATATTTGATCACATAAATGTCACTGGATATATTTGCAACAACCCACTCCAATCTTACTGTAGGTATATGGAGTCATATTTGACAATGAGTTTGAGATACACTCTGGTGAGGCCTTTACAAGACCGCTCATTAGAAGTAAAATAATTTACGACTTCCTACACTCCCTGGCATTTTATCACACACTCCTGCCACTGCAGCCTCACTTGATTTGTGACAGGATGGTAGACAGCATACAAAACATCAATGGAAAAGACACAGGACTCCATCCCTTTCGTGATTTGGTGCAATAGTGATAATGAAATTTGCTACTGAACCAGTAAAACAGCTGAAGATGTATACAGCCTACGGTAACCAGAACTGCTCTGGTGGCACACGCTTGTTTCATCTACACAGCTCCTTTCCTTTGCCTGTGCCATTTGCATAAGTAGGTTTTTGTTTCTCACTTTTGCAACAAACTTTTTGTAATACCATATACTTTTCTTAATGTCTTTTGTCTTGTTCAAAGCCTTAACAAATGATCAGGATGGTAAAGAAGTTATTACACTGGCAGCTGAAAGCACTGAGCAGCACGACGACAGCGCATACAATGCGCACAGTGATGTTAATTATTTACCAGTTCCCAGTTTGATTACATTTTGGGTGTTGATGACACTCAGGAGCTTAATAGCTGCGTAAAACACAGTGTTATGTTCTACCACGTCCTAGAGTAAATCATCCTTGAAGAATTTCTCTCTTACAAATAACACATACCATTCAGCTATTTCTCAGGACTACAGTAAGATGAGTGATGAAAGTCCTACAGAAGTATTTATTTTTCATGATGCCCTACCTTTGAAGAAACAGTCCTTGCTGTGGATAATGTAGATTTTCTTCCTCTGCAGGCAGGAGGCTCGATGCAGTTGACAATGATTCTCATAAAATTTGCCATCAGATCCACACACGGGCATGTAGCTGGACTTGCAATCCTCCACACACCTGCACTCGGGCTCGTTGGTGTCCTTGTTCACCACACACTTACTGCCCCGGCCGCAGTACTTCTTCTCACACGATGCATGCAGGCCATCCTCCCCATAAAGCACTGGGAAGAGCAGAAAAGATCAGTATGAGCAACATTTAACTCAGAGAATTCTAAAGTGATTTGGGTTGGAAGGGACCTTAAATCTCATCCAGTTCCAACCCCTGCTATGGGCAGGGACACCTTCCACTAGAGCAGGTTGCTCCAAGCCCCGGCCAACCTGGCCTTGAACACTGCCAGCGACAGGGCAGCCACTTTATCATGTATTTATTATTAGGAAATAAACCCTTTATTTGGTACCCTTCAATAATTAATTTCAGATCATACTTGTCCATTGTAGCAGCACAACCAACACAGGAGCAGGAGCTACAATACGAGGCTTCCAAGGCAAAAAGCTCAGCCCTTCAACTAGCAGCAGTTTGAAGAACGTGCTCTTCATCTGTGCTCCCAGACCTCACCCATCACAACATTAAGCCGTGAGCTGAAAATGTTTTACTGAGATGTGATGGACATATTCTTGTTCTTCTAGCCCTTTGTGAAACTAGACCCTAGAATGAAAGCCAGTGAGAGCACTTCGGTGCCCAAACTTTGGCCATGAGTCACGTTCAGAAAGCAATTCTGAAAACCTACACTCCTCCAGCCTCAGAACTCACAAGAAGCTTCAATTTTTGGCAGCAAAGTGCCTTAAGTGTCAGCACTTCAGCTTCTTGTATCGATGTCTGCATTCAGAGTCTAACTTCCACCCTGTAAGCCAGAAGCTGAGCATTCCCAAAGCTAAAATTCACACAGGTTTCAGTGAAAGCTCAGACAGACAATTGCTGAGGGCTTTTGACATAATAACCCCCAGGAAAGACTGTCACTGAAGTCAAGGGACTATTACAGGAAGATGTTTCTCACTGTAAAAGTGGCTATCAGTATCCTCACACTCTGAATAATGATACATAATGAAAAAACAACTTTCTGCTACTCTTAAGAATTCATTGGATATAATGTTCGGAACATTACTATCTGCTGTGTGATGCTATTAAAAGGCTAAGAAAGTTGCCCTTGTGCTATAACATTTTCTGCTTCTGAAGTTTCCTTGCTTAAAAGCTTGCAATAGAACATTATTATAATTCATACAGGACAGGGCACTGCCAAACAAGCCACTACTCAGAGCAATAATTAGCATTACGCTCAATGAAGAGAGTTGCACAAAATTAGATTATTCTCTGCTAATTGGAGTACACAAAGTTGGGAATTACACAGGGATGCTGCAAAAGGCATAATTAGAGCAACCCACTGCCAGCCTTGCAGAGCCTTTCAACAGCCCCCGGCTGCTCCCATGCCAGTGATGCAGCCTGGACCAGCAAATCCCTGCAGTCTACATTTACCACATGCAGGTTTGGCTCTTGGCAAGGTTTTAGTGCTCGCCAGCTTCCAGAGGAAGCTCAAGTGGATGCACTGCTGTAGATGTGCTCCAGCACCCAATGGGACAACTCCTGCACCATCTGCAGCACCACAACAGCCTCCAAAATGCACCCACGGCTCTTCCCTTCAAAGATGTTTCAAGCAGCAGAATAGCTCAGCCTAGGAGAGCAGAATGGATCTCACCTAAAGACCCCCAATCGCATGTTGCGGAGATGCGAAGAGCATCAGCAGTAGCTACTTCAATCTATTGATCCTTTCTTATCATGCTAAATTCCTTGCTAACATCGACACAGCCCCTGCCTGCCCAGCGTTTTATGTCAATGTGAAATGTCCCAGTGCTGAAGCTACATTTCATCTACTAGTGATCAAGGGGTTAAAGCCTGTACACAAAGACAAGCAGAAGTTTCTACAAAAGCCCATTTTTCTCTGTCCCTGTTAAGCCTTTATCACTGTAAATCTGAATGGGAAAAAAGTCTGGTATTGGAGGATTAACTATTTGACTCAATAACTCATTAAAATTCCTCTAACTTGGCAAGCTAAGAAATATTGCCTTTTCCTGACTTGTAATAAACTAGAAGGTCAAAGCATCTCTGAGCGGTGCAAAAAGTAGTCCCTGGAAGGAGTATCTGACAATTCTTCACTTACTCCACTAATCATTCCAGAATTTCTGGATAGTGTCCTCAGGAATGCAAATTCTGTGACCTTAAGGAGACTTCACTGCCAAGGCCATCTGCATTTATGGGGTCTGCTGTAGATCCAAGCAGCATGAAGGTCTGGGCTTGAGGAAGCACTAGTCAAGCATCCTTCTCTTCTCATGGCAGGACCTGCACCTGTACAGGCATATCCAGCACAGCATGCCTCAAATTACAAGTTTTGGAGACTGCTGTTGATGCTAAAGATGTTGATTCAAGAGCTATTGTTGTCCATATCAATATAATTCAGCTACAACTACAGCAAAGCCTTTTCCTGTGCTGTCTTGATGGCTAAAACTTGACCTCTTGGAGCTAGCACCTGTTGAGTACTGCAGCACATATCTTGCTAAGGGTTATTTCTGCCTCCTCATTCAAGGTGGGCTACTCTGATTTAATGCACCAGGCCACATCTGGGCACAGCACAGCTGCACCCTGCCCCAACAGCTACTGCAGGCACCACCAGCAGCAAAAACCCTCTTGAAGCCTCAAGTCTTTTTTGGCATTGTGATTTTTAATATAAACTTCACATTACTGAAGACAAATACTATTCCCGTGCAGTGCAAATTTTACTGCATGATACACCAAAGATGTGGTTAAGCACCAGCTTATAAAAAAAGACAAAATACTTTTCTACATCCACCCTGGTTACTATGGAGAAACCACAGAAAGCCTGTCTGTGTTTATGCCTCATTCATTTTGTTCACAGTTTGGTTTCTTCTATGTTCCCAGACACATAATTCCCCTTTAAACACACCTAAGTTGGGTAAGGGGTTAGGAGGGATAATCTGCAAACAGTTAGAAAGGCAAGGTTTGTGTATTTGGGAATCCTGACGTGCTTCTACTAGTCCAAACCCTCTGAAATCTGTGTGTTTGTGAGCAGAATGTTAACATGGGATGTCTTTGCCAGAATCTGATAATCCTGATAGCAGCTCTTTAATTCAATTACTATTTGCATAATCCTTTGAAGACCTAAAGCTCCGCACAAGCACACTCAGCTGTACAGACAGACCCTCTGCCCAGGAAGAACATAGAATAGTTAGGGTTGGAAAGGACCGTAAGATCATCCAGTTCCAACCCACTGCCATGGGCAGGGACACCTCACACCAAACAGAATTAAGCCAGTGGAAACAGAGAGGAAGGGAGGTATTGGACTGTAAAAGCACTGTTGTCTTTAATAATTCATCCAGAGCAGCATCATGCACCATGGAAAAGGACCTTCCTCCATCGCATTGATGCACCTTATGGAGGTGATCCCATGAGCAGCACCTGAGCTGGGAAGAACAATGGGGGTGTGTAGCTCAGCCACATGCCATTGCCATTCTTTGTCACTTTATTAAAAGTGGCTGAATTCCCCACTCCTACAAGGCTTATTAAAAACAGGAATAGGAAAGGTAATCAAGTGAAACTCCCAACTAACTGCTCGCAGTGTTTATGAGCCCCACTGCAGCGCACGCAAAAAGGCATGACTTATTTAATTTATTAGTTGCAAAGTCATTTACTTCAGTTAAAAACGGATCATCTTGCAAAACAAGCCACTTTTCAACACTAAGTTTTTATCCAACCTGGCTAAAGTCGGAGTTGTTATCTTGTATTAAATCCAGAAGGATGGAGAGAGGAAACCCATTCGCATACACCCACGAAAACACTCCGCTTCTCACACTGGTTTCTGCCTGCCCCTAAGAAATTCGGAATTCTGGTGGAAAAATGACAACAGCTTGGTGCAGGCAGTAAAATATCTGAGTCCAGGAATCTTATAAGGGTGACTAACAGGCTGCCTTCATCTCAGAGCGAAACTTTAATAGGAAAATTAAGATGTTATTGCAACACTGGAGAAAAGGTGTCCTCTGGCTCTGCATTAATCCATAAAAACAGAGACCTCATCTACCTTTTACATGTCAGTAAATACGTTACAGATCAGACTTTTTCCTTACTCCCAAATACAACCCTTTTCCTTACTCCTGCAAAACTCCCAAAGCTTACGAGGGAAGGCACCAACTTCAAGTAAAATCAACCAAACAAACCCATCACACCTACAAGCAAAGCCAAAACCAGAACAGCTCTATCGCATCACTACTCATAAAAAGTTGCTTCTGCACTGCGGAAATGTTAAATTGCTACTTTTACATATAAAAAGCCAGTTTGCTTTCAAGTAACAGTGAACTCCTGCAGGCAGCTGGACATTCAGCTTTATTGCTGAAGGAAAAAGTTTAGATATTACATGAGGACTGGAGCCAAAACTGGAACCTTTAATTATAGGGCACTGGAGGCTAGTAGAGCTAAAACTGGTGGAACTGAAACTGGAAGCTTCTGTGCCAAGTTCTTTAAAGGCAATGCTGTACCTTGCAAATGTTGTCCTAAAATAAAACCAAACCCTCTATAACACGATAAATATTCGGTCTCTAAACTTAGCTTGTTATGTCCATTAGATAAACCAGTGAGGTAACAGTCACGAGCTACTTATCCAGCAACTTGACATCAGTTTTCCAGCATTTTTCCCTTCCCACATGAAATAATTTCCTATGGTCTAAAACATCACACCTGTAAGCACTATTTACTGCTTACTGCAGTACACGTAAACATATATACAGTTGCCAGTACATGTAAATATATATACACTCAAAGCACATGCAGGTGTAAGTGTTGAAGTAAGTATCTCGGAGCAGGACAGAGAGGGATGCTGCAGCCTTAGAAGAGGAAGACAGCAAATCGGTTACTTTTACTCATTCAGATGCTTTACATGAAACAAAACCCAGGATGACATGGAAAGCCTCCTCAGAACAAAAAGGAGCAAACTTTCCCAAATGGCCACATTATTGCAGGAGGACCCTTGCAGAGTTTAAAAACACAAAACAAACACCAAAAGGAAAGGAAAATATACTCTGGAAAGGAGTGTTGCGATAAACAATTACACCGATGGCACCAGCACCAAGGGAACTGCTTAATCAGTGCCTGCAGTTTAAT